ATATTACAGTTTTTCAGAATCTGAGAGACACCATGTGGGATCACAAAATGGCGTCGGAAATCGATTTTTGGTCTCTAGACGTCATCCCGATTCCGGAAATACCCATATTGACGGGTATTTGGTAGCATTTCCCACTTTTTTCTGAAATCAGCAGCCGCCATCTTTGATTTCAAAATGGTGCTAGCCATCGATTCTTGGTCTCTAGACGTCATCCCGATTCCGAAAATATCCATATTCAAGGGTATTTGGCAGTATTTTCAACTTTTTCTGAAACCGGAAGCCGCCATCTTGGATTTGAAAATGGCGCTGGACATCGATTTTCACTCCTTAGACGTCATACCGATTCCGAAAATATACACATTGAAGGGTATTTACCAGTATTTCCCACTTTTTTCTGAAACTGGAAACCGCCATCTTGGATTTTAAAATGGCGTCGTAAATCGATTGACGGGTTTTAGACGTCATCCCGATTCCGAAAATATCCATATTCCATCCATATTGGTCTTGATCCACTGAACAACTTCGCCCAAGAAAGCAGCTTCCTAGATGGCAAGGATTTCAAGATATCACAAAAACAAGGATATCACAAATTCATGTACACTAGCGCGGTGCTAGTGGTAAAATTCCAAACTTCTGTCCACCAACGATAAGGTCTTGATTCTGTTACCATCCTAAATGGTGACATTTTGTATTTTTATTTTGTGTGGGAACGTAGGGCACCATTTGTTCAGCAAACTTCCAATTTAAATTGCGAACGTTAGCACCGATAACGATTGTGGGTGACGAGTGAAGTCAGCTGCAGAAATTGGAACGGAAATGTGGTAGCGAACGAGAGAGCTGAGTGGTGTGAGTGCGACTATGGGTGGATGGTGAGGAGGATAGAGAGTTCGGGGGAGTCGGTGTGTAGCGTTGCCTCTAGGCTGTTAATGGCTAGCCAGATGGGCTAGTTTAAAGGGATTCCCCTAACCTCTGGTCTAGCCACGGAGATCGTCTGGGGTGGGCTACACTCGCCTCTTTTGTTGGCTAGCTCGAGCTTGAAACCCTGGAGCTTCAAGGTCGGCTCCTGGCTTGTCGGCACTGATCAAACGTACAAAACACCTCTTTATCACTTTTACTCTTTATTCTCTCACTCACTTGTTATGTCTGTAGTGTGGGTGTGTAGATTGCTGGCCAGCGATGACGGAATTCTGCAACGGGTGGGGTTTTTCGGCGGCGGATGAACGGACTGTTCCCAGTGGATGCCGGTGCTCGACGGTTGTCACCGTGTGGCACGACAGATGTGGCACTGGGGCTCGATCGGGTGATCGACGGTGATCTCCCAGTGGTTGTCGGTGTATTACCGATGGACGCTTGCTACACGGGTGTTGGCGTGTTAATGGACGCCCTCGTGGTTTAGCCCGTAATTAATGGGTCTTGGCTCTGTATTCGGTAGTTTCACCGGTATTTGTTGGCGACTCTATATTTTTCACTTCTCTTCAGAACTTTTAATAAATTTAACTTGGCAGATCGATCTATCTCGCGCAATCGCTAAAGTGAAAGAGAACCTTCTCTTCAGTTTGACCCAGTAGCTTCCCCCTTGACATAAGCCCATTTCCACCTCCCTCCCACTTTTTCACCACCCCTTGTCCATATCCTTCTCTTGTTTCCAACGCCCACCTTCATCCTTACTCCTTCCCGTTATGTGTTCTGTGTTATGTGTTGTTGGTGTGACTGGGTTACAATATTTAATTGGACCGTTGGTTTGGGAGTGGTCTTTCATTTGCCTTACATATTTAATTATATTTACATTCAAAACAAGACAATATTGCATACAAGAAACTGACATACAGATTGAATTCACAATGAACACACATATACCCTATTCCTCGCTCTCGCTATCTCCTGATTTTTCTCGCTCGAAGTGAACCAATAGGGTACAGGAACCAAAACGGTAACAAGGCAGACGTGCGGTGGAATAATGGTAGAGACGGTAGTGGACGTGAGATGCGAAGCACGAGGTTCGCGTCACTGCAGGAAGATGAAGATCGAGGGTTTTCATGACAGAACGACGCCATCAGACAGCGACTATCAGATCATCGTCCGCAAGCCACCGCCATCAGGCCACCGTTATCAGGCCACTGTTATCTGGCCACCGTCATCCGGCCACCGCCATAGGCGTGCTTCCCTAAGGCTGCTACCATACGGTATTGGGCTGCCGCCATCTGGTCACCAACAGCTGGCTATCACTAACTGGCCGCCACCATCTAGACAATGCCAAGCTCATCATATTGGTTCGCATAACAAATAAATGTAAGGTAAATTCTACTTTTATAGTTGGATACGAATTCCCCACAATCCGAAAGCTTCCCCACGCAAAAACGCCCTGGGACCCGGAACCAAAAGAGGCCTTGAGTGCCCACCCCAGGAACTGCCGTTGGCTTAAGACCATCAGCTCGGGGCTTAGGCTGGTTCCCTTGTGGGACTAAGCGGTTCCGGGGCCATAAGTGTTTCAATTCACTGAACAACTTCACCGAAGAAAGCAACTTCCTAGATGACATGGATTTCAAGATATCACACAAACAAGGAAATCACTAATCCATGTACACTAGCGCCGCGTAGTGAAAAAAATTCCGAACTTTTGTTCACCAACGATAAGGTCTTGGCAGGCATGGAAAATCATTTGCATTCATTTCGTGCATTCATTTAAATTAATTTGCCTCTAACTTTTTTCATCAACAGCATTCCGCAAAATGATGTATAGAGCTTTTGTGGGTTGTGTTGTTAGCTACAACTTTTGTTGAGAATTCAAATCCGTATTTTTTGTGCATGACGAACCAGAGCAAACAGAATCCAATACTGATTTTCAGTGAATGTATTTTACATTCCTTGAAAAACAGTAACGAGTTCTGCCCGCTCTAATTCGTGATGCATAAGAGATACAGATTTGAGTTCTTTACAAAAGTAGTAGCTAATAACAAAACCTACAAAAGCTTGATACATCATTTTGCGGAATGCTGTTGATGAAAAAAGTTAGAGGCAAATGAATTTAAATGAATGCATGAAATGAATGTTTATTGATTTTCCATGCCTGGGTCTTGATCCACTGAACAACTTCGCCAAAGACAGTAACCTTCTATATGTCCAGGATCGCGAGATATTCCATGTTTCCCTTTTAGGTAAAATCCCATATGCTACGTGTACTCCATTTACGCGATTCCCTCGCGAGACCAACGTAAATGGAATTCGTGTAGACCGAGTTCGCGTTCTTCGGGGGAAAAGCGTATGTCTTCTTTGGTCAAATTTTACGACAACAGCACGGCCGAACAAGTCAATTTGCTCCATCGAAAAATTCAGCATCGTGATCATTCTATTCGCGGAAACTACGTCAGCAAACCACATTTTCCCCGATGAGCTTACAACCCACATTGGCCATCGTCCGCAGCAGCAGTAGTCCAAATAATGACATTCTAGGTCAAAAATATCCTGATTAGATTTCGAACCGCACACTCACGCGTTCCATTTTCCGTGGCTTCGCGGTATGAATTTCACGTTTCAATGTCATAATTCCATTATTATTGCCTGGTAATTGAATAATCGATGGCAGAAATTTGGCAAACATTGCTCCACTCCTCCCCTTGTCTCCGGGGTGGAGCAATGGTACGGTCTAAATTTAATACCTGATCCTCGGTACTTTTCGACCGAGGAAACTGCACGGTCAGAATTTATAATAAGCTGTGTCTATATTTGATGTTTACCTGCCTGCCCGGCCAGGATCCAAGCCAGGGTGGATGCGGTAGTTGAAAAATGTTCCCCGGCAATCAAAACAAGGTTTAAGCTGATTTACGCTAGAATATATTGATTGATTCATAATGAAGCTTAAATCGAGCTGTTTTACCTGATTGTGTATGCAAAATGCGAAGCTTGGCTTGGGTACACCGTTCCCCGGCAGATAGCGAGAGGAAAACTTTTTTTTTTCTATTGGAGAGGAAAAGCTGCAGTAGAAGTCGTAAGTGGGATGGGAAAAGTTTTTCAACATTATAGGGTTGCTTTCTGGCATTCATCTTCCTGTTAATGGGCCGTCCTTGAGAAGTATCTTAAGAAGGTTAAAAGTTCTGAATAAACGAGAAAAACTACAAATAGCTTTTGAATTGCTGTTCTTTTTATAAATGTTTGCTTCGGAATAGCAAGAGGGATTTATGACTTTCCGCAGCGTTGAAAGATGCTTCACACAAATGTTCAAACAACACTTAATCAAGCAGGGCACAAGCAACGCACATATTTGCCTTATCCACACTGAGTATGACACTAATTTCCACCCTGTCACCAAGTCCCCAACGGATCAACACAGAGACTCGACGCTCAACGACTCCTCAAAGACCCCTTAATTGCATCCGAATGTCACTCCCCCGTACCGGCAAACCACTTTTCCATGGCTCGTTAAAACGCAATAATTGAATAAATATCGGATTTTTATTGCTCCACTTTAGCCCCAATAAATTAATTGTGATGTATCACCACACAATCGCGCTTGGCATCGGGCGACACGGGGGACCACCAGAGGGCGTTGATAAATACGTCCATTCATCATCCACCCGAGGAAAACAGCGCCACCAAACGGACATATTGCCGAGTGTGCCGGGAATTGCAACCGTGTGTGCCTCTGGGAGCAAGTAAAATAATCCAAATTATTTCGTGGAACGACCAGAACTCGAACTCAGTTGCAGGCGAGTTCAGGCAGTGCACAATTTACGGCGATCTGATGATGCGTCAACGCATTCCAATACTTCCCCCCCCCCTCTGTATGATGTAGACGATATTGATGGCTGTCTCTCAAATTGACACAACATTTTCCCGCAAATAAAATCAGCACACACACACACACATTCACGCAATGAAAATATTGAATTTGCTGATGTTTATTTCATTATGGGGAATAATCGTGTGGAATTTGCAAATAACGACCTCTCCCCGTCGTCGTACCTCGAATCACCGATAAGTGGTGATAAGCTTTCCATGTCCAAATGGAGAACTACCGGGCCACGTTTCTATTGGATTTGGGAACGTTGATGCGTTCGGAAAGTGAGCGATAATTTTGGTGTTTTAATTAATTCGAATTATGGATGGGATCGATAAAGTATTTAGTTCGTGGGAAAATTCACAACGATTCTGAAACTGTTTTAATGGGATTGAAATGGCTGTTTTGGCTTTGAATCTTTAAAGTGGAGTAAAAATTAAAAAAATATCATTCAAATAATGATGTCTTCCACAGAAAGTTATTCTCAACCATGGGCATCAGCTTAGAAGATTGATGGAATAGTTGCACCTTCTACTGCAAAACATTTCATAAGAGGAATAGTATGTATGTAAAGGATACCACTCATTGCTGCAAGGCACAGCCATTAGACAGTGGATCATCCTCCAAGTATGACTTGATCAAGTACGATACCTGGTTGTATTCAATTTACCATTGTAAGAAGGGCCAAAAACGGAGGGGCGGACCCGTAAGCAGATACACTTACGCGCAATCCGCGGGATCAGGAGAATCGCCTTCCAATGATAAAATCCTACAACCCGATGTAGAACAAGCCATCATACGAGGGAACGTCCCAATGAGTGGGGAGAAGAGCCCGCCGTCAATTCACGAAATGTTAATGATAGGGAGTTGGCAATTCCACTCTCCCCATCCAAATCGCTTCAATCCGGTGCCCTGGTGGTCCCATCCTTCCCCTTTGCATTTAATGTGTGTATATATATATATATATATATATATATATATTTATATCGGCATTACCCGTTAGATTTTGTCAACACAATTTTGCCTTCTTAGCTTTTCAAAATCTTTAATAAATGCAAATCTTACCATCTGACCTATTCCGCGAGTCGTGTGAATCTCCACCACCAATGAGTCAACAAAAGTCACGCACTAGTAGGGTGACTCTCCGTGCAATCAAATGAAGAGTCACCTCACACGAGGCGACCATCGTCACCCTACTAGCGACAGAGAGCCATACTACTCGCAGAACAGGCCTGCAGGTGACGTTTAAAGCTCCAAAATTTTACTGAAAATCTAAGAAAATTATTAAACAGAATTTAATAATATAACTGCAGAGCACAAGCAGTTTAGAAGAGAACATGTTGCCGAAATTAGAAGAGAACGTGTTGCCAAAATCGAACGGATACTTTATAAAACATTTCATAAGAGGAATAGGAACCTAAACAAAATCTCCAAAATCTTAGGAAATAATAAAACTGCATAGATTTGCAGAGTTTTCTTCAAATTACAATATTGTAATGCTTTATTGAGAATATGTCTTGTTCCTTTGACGTTCAATAACAGAATGAAGAAATTCAAGACCAACAATTGAAACGGCCTTAACTCCATTTTGAAAACAAACCTTATAAGACCATTTTCTCGCGAACGCAAACCTAAACCACAATCGGGTAGGTTTGCCTTTGCGGACTTCGGTTCGCGAGAAAATGGCCTTACAAGGTTTGTTTACAAAATAGAGCTAAGGCCATTTCAATTGAGGGTCTTGAATTTATTTCGTCGATAGGAGTCATGGGTTACTATTCTAATACTCGTCCTTAAGCTATAATTCCAATGGCTTTACGATTGTTGCTTAGCTTTACGTGGGTTAATGGTTTCGTCAGCCCATCAGCGAGTTGGTCTTCATTGGTGACATAATCAATGTTGGCCACTTCTTTCTTCAGTGCATCTCGAATATAGTGATGCCTAATATCGATATTCTTTGTTCTGGGATTAAATATAACCACCAGCTTTAGCAACGGCAATTGTACTTTGATTGTCACAAAGGATCTTGATCGAACCAATCTCTTGGAATTGTGACATCAATCCTTTCCGCAACGCTGCTTCTTGAACTACTGCAGATAGGGCCATATACTCAGCTTCACACGTAGATAAAGCGATCGTTGGCTGCCGCTTACAGCACCAGGAAATCGCTGCATCCTGTAGTTTGAATATGTAACCACTTGTCAATTTCCTGTCGTCCAGATCAGCTGCCCAGTCCGCGTCACTGTATCCAATAACTTTTTCGTTGGCATCCTTCTTGTACAACGGTTTCATTTTCGAAGTTCCACGGAGGTAATGGAACAAATGATTGACAGCGCACTCTAATGTTGCATTCCTGGATTTGAATTGTAACGTCTGATTCACAGTGAAAAGAATATCCGGTCGGGGACATTGAGCGATTGCTTCCTGATACGGAAAGTTGGCCCTGGTTCGTCTCGTCCGGGGTTTTTGGTGACATTTCCTTGTTATGTTTGTCGGTCATCGGTGTCTTCGTTGATGTGCAGTTAGATATGTTGAATAGAGTCAGCATCGTTTCAACGTATGCTTCTTGATATAACGCAACGGTATTCTCAGTCTGGCTGATGTGCATGCCAAAGCAGCTCTTAGCTTCGCCTAAGTCTTTCATTTATTTAACATCAGTCTCTGTTCCGCAATCTAGTGCCAATTACCGACGGACATCGATTGCCATCCATTAACGGCAATCGAATGTGCAGGAAGGCAGCTTCCACACCTGCGTAGGATATCGCTCCCATTCACAACACACATGGGCCGGAACCAACGGATTTACTTCCCTTCCGAAGGAAGACGTGACCAGAGATTTTCATCAATCTGATAATACACCCAGGGGTAGTTCACCTGAGTAACACCAAACTTCTTCAGCATCGAATCCAACTTGTTGTTCCAGACTCGGCTCGACTCGGAGTGGAGTCTATGCAACGTTTTGTTCAAGCGACACACCATCGCACAGTTCTGACGATTTTCGAACATCGGGAGCTGCTCTATGTAGATTTCCTTCTCCAGATCTCCTTAGAGAAAAACGGGGACGTCGTTCATCTGTTGGATTCGCAAATCATATCTTGCTGCCAATGCGAAAAGATATTGCAGCGATCTGTGGCGAACGACGGGGGAGTACGTTTCTTCAAAATCCACCCCCTTTCGCTGCGAGAATTCTTTAATCACCAACCTCGCCTTGTGTCGATCCACATTTTCACTCGAATTGTGCTTTATCTTGTATATGCACTTGCATTTTATCGCCTCCTGCCTTTAGGGAGTTCTGCCAAGGTCCAGGTACCGTTGTTGATCATCGCATCGTACTCCTACTGCATGACTACCTTCCATTTTCGGCATCGGGCATTTTTCCTTGGGCAATTTTGACGAAGGACTACGTCTTTGATTTCTTTATGGGGGTACACTTTGTGAAAATCTAAAATAGAACATGTAACGAAATTATGAAAGATTTCGAACGTTAATAACTTAGCTGCCCCTGGACCAATTTCAAAAAATTTTATCACCAATGGATCAAAAAAATTGCTACGCATCTTTTAAATTAAAGACTTTATAATTTTTTTAATTTAATTATTGAAAATTTCACGAATGTGCAATTATTGCAATGATAATAAAAAATAATTGGTGGGGTTGTGCACAAGACACGACCGCAGGGTTGACGTAGACTACGTTGAGTGTAGTGAAATTCTCGTGCATTTTTTCTAGATATTGATTTAAAATACAGAAGAAGTAACCTATGATTTCGGTCCTATGTACATATTTTGGATTTCCTACTTAGTAAAACTTGGTGAAATTCAGGACCTCATAAAAATGCGAATACATATTCTATTACAATTTGGTTCCTAAATTTCAATCAGATATGAGTAAGGCTTTCTTCAGGTGATTCATTGAAGCGTCCAACAATGACCGTCATGATGGCTGATATCACTTCAAGATTTCTAGGACACAAATCTTGGACGGTTGTGACATCACTCATGAAATTGAAACTCCTTGTGTACTGGACTGCAACAAACGTGAAGTTCTAGTTTCTTTGTTATAAGTTTTGTGAGAGCTGATATCAGTACTCTTGAAATTTTTCTATGGTAATGAGATTGATCCTCAGCGATTCAACTTCAAAACGCTAAAAATAAATGCACACACAAAAAACGGAGTAAACAATTTTGCATCAATGTTTCTTAGTTGATCGAGATGATATCAATTAGTCATTAATCTTCAATAAGTTCTCGGTACATCTTTTATCTACCGATTGAAAATATAAAAAAAAATACTAAGGCTGTGCTCCATTTGGAAATTTTCCACTTAGATTTGACACTTCGAAAATAAATTAAGATGTTCGAATATCCCTCTGATGTAGATCGGCCGATTTTCGAGAAGGCGTCTGTCAAATTGATTCCTTGTCTGTCAGAAATAAGTCTGCTGGAATAGCAGGTTTATTAAAAAAAATTCATCTGTCAAATATAGGTAAAAATTCACCAAATAGAACACAGCCTTAATAACTTAAGCACAGAATCGTTTCTTGTTGTGTTTGTTGTATTAGATGCTAAATAAAAACTTCTTTTATCGATATGTGTGCTGAAAATACCTGGGCCGAGTGGATTCGAGGAGAAAGTCGACGAAGAGAATCTTGTCAGTGTTACTGCAATGTTCAGCTTGAATTGTTTCGCTTAGCTGTAAACAGAAAATCGATGAAGAGAATCGAACATTACAAGTAGGCCCTTTTGAACGATCACTGTCGAATTTCAGAACCTAGCACTGAAAAACTTGACGGTACCTTTATTTATGCTAAGAGATAAGCATTGCAAATCCCTCCTACTTGAAGAATTATGCAAAAAAAAAAAAACTGGGGTTGTATAAACCATTCTATAGCATAATTTTCCAAGTAGGAGGGACTTTCATAGCTAATCTAACAGCATAAATAGAGGTACCGTCTGATAATTTCAGTGCTTGGTACAGAAAACTGTGATCTGTGTAGGAAAATCCTTTTTATCATCACAGAAACACCCCGTTCCCGTTTTCTTATGCAAAATAATGAAAGTGCGTTCACAAAACGCACGAAATCTTAAAAAAAACAAAAGCTGATATGTCCTTCCGAAAAGTAATCGAGATTTTTAATTATTATTCAGGCAAGGAGCACTTGCGCCATCGAGGCGACGCCGCTACCAGCAGCCAATGATCTCGACGGGAACGACGCGCACAGTTGAGGCACATTAGCAGCGCTGTTTTATAACTTTTCTGATTCAAGCAGCACGATGTGCAACCAAAT